TACAAACACAAAATTAAAACTCAGCAAAGTCTCTTAATTTTACAGGACGTATCTTTTTCCATACTGGTCTCAATCTCGTTGGCTTCTGCTTCATGTGGGGTTCATCTGCTTCATCAGGAAATGTCCCATCATCGGTAACAGTCACGTCAGTGGTAGTAACTTCATCAAGGACTTCACCGTTCTCCTTCTCGAAACCGAGCAAAGTTTCTTCTTCGACAGTGGCTTTTTCAGGTGACACGTCTTAAGTAGCGTCATTTGTTCCGTTGTTCACTTCATCCCAACTGAAATGTCTTGGACCATGATAATGCCAAAGCCTGTTGGCACGCATCACCTTTCGCTTACCTCGCCGACCACATTTTATCCGGAAAGTCACATCTGAGAGACGATCCACTATTTCATATGCGCCTTCCCATGGGGAAGACAACTTAGGAGACTTCCCTTTGGTCTTCCTGGGATTATTCAACCACACCTTGTCTCCTGGTACAAAGCTGACTTCAGTATATCTCTTATCATAACATAGCTTCATCGAATAAGTAGACGTTTTCAACTTTGAATGCACTTCATGGTGAATATCATCCATCCTTTCTGATAACACTTTCACAAACTCTGACATATTTTCAGGCAACTCTTCATAAGGTGGGTGTCCTGTTAACAGATCCACTGGCAACCGAAATTCCCGACCAAACATCAACTTTGCTGGAGTGTATCCAGTGGCTTCATGCTCTGCTGTCCTATAGGCCATCAACAGTGGATGGAGTAAGACATCCCAGTCATCTTGGCGACTATTACAAAACTTTGCCAATTCCTGTCCCAGTGTCCAGTTGTACTTTTCTAACCATCCCATCAGACTGTGGGTGAAGTGGCGTTGTTCTGGTCTTTCGTATGCCAAACAACTTGCAGCATTCATGGAACACAGCTGATTCAAAGTTACGGCCTTGATTTAAATGCAGTTCGTATGGCATACCAAATCTGAAGAAGAAGTCACTAATAGCCGAAGCTACAGTTGTAGCTTCCTGATTTGGTATTGCATATGCCTCAGGCCACTTGGTGAAATAATCCATCACCACACAAATGTAACTGTTTCCAGCACGAGTTTGGGGCAAAGGACCAGCAATGTCAGTGGCTACTCTTTCCATTGGTGCACCAACTTGATATAACTTCATTGCAGGATGTACCTTATGCTTGGGTTCCCCTTTTAGCACAACATGTACTGCATGTCCTGCACCATTCTTCCACATCTTACCTCATACATATCCAGTAAAATCTCTGTCGTAGGTGACTCAATGTCTTCTTAACTCCGAGATGTCTTTCTGTTAAACTATTGTGGGATTGATGCAGCACAATTTCCTGTAACTCTCGGTATAACTGTTTGCCAGGTCATCACTTTCCCATCTGCAGTTTCCCATTTCCGGAGAAGAATACCATCTTCAAGCTTCAACCGGTCTCATTGTGCTCAATAGTTTTTTGTCACAGGGCTTAAGCTAGACACCTTCTCCCAAGCAGGGTGCAAAACACTTGCTTTTATAAAATCAATTATTGGCTTTAAATCTTGGTATTTCTCCTGTTCTGCTTTGATATCTATATTTGGTTCCATTTCACCATCATCAACTCCTTCAGTCACTTTGACTTCAGCTTGATGGCATCTAGTTAGTTCAACCTCTCTTTTAACAGTTACCGGAATTTGGTCTTTGTTGTTCCAAAACGTCATTTTATCAAAATTAATTACACACTTCCTCAGTAGTAATTAGTCCAACCTTAATATGCATTGGTCTTCAATGTCAGCCAAGTATACTTTGTGTCTGTCCTTCATGCTCATGAGCTCAATAGTTACCCACACTGGTCCCCACAACCTTGCAGAATGTCCTGTCACACCACAGAGCTTCTGTACAGCTTCTGGTACTCCTTTGTTATCCAGCACCTTGATGCTCACAAGGGTTTGCTGAGATGCAGAATCTATGACAAAGTTGCACTTTTGGCCATCCAGCTTTCCTGTCACGTAGACACTATGTGTGCTTGGCATTTTATACCTAGCTGTCGGGACTTTCACGATGGGGGTTGGTGGGCGTCCCTCAAAAAGCAACCACTACTGGAAGGGGCTTGCCGTTGTCTGGGGCTGATTAAGTGTAAAAGACAATAAATCAACCTTTAATGTATTTAATTCGCTTTGAAATTTACTAATGTTTTTCATTTGTGTACTCTGGCTTTCTCTCAATTGTTGAAGACTTTCTTCTTGTTTATTTTCTTTCTTCGAGCTGCCACTGTTGCAAATTATCTTGCCACTCCTGTAATCTCTCTTCTTGTTTCTTTTGCTGTTTGTGTGTTGCTGCCATCAAATCTGCTAAGCTGTAGTTTGATTCCCATTTTCTTTTTTATTGATTTATTTATTTTTATCCCGCTTCTGACACCAATTTGTTACGCCTCTGTGTTCGTTTGTTAATTTTTCGTAGAAATTCTTTCCGAGAAACTTCAGTGATACAAGTCTTTTCTTAAATAAAACTAGTTTATTCTTTCTCACTTGAACTTTGCAATACATTTAATTTCCACACTTGCTTTAACTTAAACACATGCTATAATTCACAACGAATGATTCACGCACCTTACTTAATACCGCACTTGACTCAATTGTCCGTCTCTACCTCTGCCTGTCTGCAATTCAATTATTCACGCCGTCACTTTATTTGCCGGCTTATATACAATAAGAGCGTGCGTTTAGTAAACGCTCGAGCCTAAACGTACGTTCGAAATACTCATTAGTTACCAGTGTCACGTGACTTTCGCTGTTG